AAGTTTCTTATTTTATTTTAATGCGGACTCCAATCTACTGATTAATGTAGTATAAATTGTGAAAAAAAAAACAAACAAACAAACAAACAAACAAAAAAAAAAAACAACTTTATCTCTCTATATTCTTTTTGTGTAGAAGGATCCGTACAAGTTGATCAAGTTATAATTGTCATGGCCTTGTTGATTAAGCCATCATGACAATCTTTTTTTTTTAAAAATTAAGATTTTTTTCTCAAATAAATATTATTTCAAGAAGCACATTATAAATTATGTATTTATTAAATACTTATTTTTATGCTTTTACAAGTGCTTTGCAATAAACAACTTTGGGTTCTATCTGTATTTATTTTTTATTCTTTTCTCTCCTGTATTTGTGTTTGGTGTCATATTCCTTCATTAATCAATAATACTTACATCACTTAGTAAGGATTCATTTTCTTCCATGTAAAATTTTTAAAAAATAACTATAAATGCAAAATAAATGATTGTGCAACTTATTCCAATGATTGTAAATTATTATTATTTATTTCTTAAACCTGATATTTATAGGGCCATGTTAATTTAAAATTCAATTTTTAGAAAAAGTTAGTCAAGCACAATTTAAATAATGAAAAAAAAAATATAGAACTTAAGTATTTTTTAAACTTTTTATTTTTAGATTACTTTTATTTTCTTGTTCAATAAGAGATGTTTGTTTTTGCAGACGACATTTTTATTTCACATAACAATGTTATATTATAAAAGAGGAGGATTATGAAATTCACAATTGTTTCTAATAATTCAGTTAATTCTATAATATATTTGAATGCTAATAAAACAGAAGATATTAACCCTGTTTTATATTTTGAAAAATTTAACAAATAAATTACCATATTCACAATTATAAAAGTTTGAAGAAGTTGTGCAATATCAAAAAGTTGTTTTGCATGGGTTGAAGTTTTGATCTTGCAAAAATTCTTTTTTTGTTAATGTTTGTATTATTTTTCTTTTTATCAATCTTATTTTATTTATAATAAGAAAACTCATATTCCTTCACAAGTAAACAAATGTGTATTATTTTGCAATTTTAATTCAAAAAAAACATTATTTTATTATCTGATAATATATATATATATATATATATATATATATATTGCAAATGTACTAAAAAAATTCTATCAGAAAATGTTTAAATTATTTTTTATTTTTTTAATTTTTTTGGAAATGGAGAGAGAACAAGAGAAAATTAAACTCCGTAATTGATTCTTTTGGGAACATAAATTATTAAAGCCATTACATCTAAGTTTTTATAACTCATTTGCTCATAACTACCTTTAGTGCCACTCATTTAACAAACTAAACGATTATTATTATTAATTTAATTAAATGAGACTATTATGAAACTTAATTAAAATGAGAATCCTCAACTTTTACATGGTAAATAGAATTTTTTATTTTATCCTATCTAACCAATACTTTTATTTTGTTCTATATGTTATTTTTTCTTTTCATGCAGTTTCGTTTTATTTTTAAGAGTTGATTATTTCCTTTTACAGAAAACAAATAAAGGCCACCAGTTTTATAATCGTCCACACTGTTTGTTTCTGTTTTCTATTTTTTTTCCAAATTTTACAAGACACAAAAAACATAACCTAATACACTTAAAACAGCCCCTGTTGATGTTTCTATTAACATTGTGTTTTCTGATAGTATATTGATATATTTATTTCAACTTTTACACTGAATTGATCGAGCTCATTAAGGTAAAATGAAAGATTTCTTCTGTGTCATAGGTATTGAAGTGACTCTTCCAAGTGTTTAGATTTAACCAAAAAGCTATAAAATTAACCCATTTAAGTAAGAGATATTGATAAACTTGCAAGTGTGTAGAAGTTATAAAAGAGGGATTGTCCTGAACCAAATTCATTCTTAATCATTCTAAGGGTTTCTAAAGGTCCCATAGAAGTAGAAAAAGATAGAATTAAAAAATTCTATTATAATTTGGTTGATTTCAATGGACTTTTTTTTTTTTTTTTTTTTTTTTTTTTAATGATTAAATCAACTTAGAGGCTTAGAAGTACAATCCAATCATCTAGAAACTAAACATTTTCAAAAATCCAAATAAATAAATAAATAAATCTTACAAGATGATTATTGAAGAAAAATTCTACAAACATGTCAAAAATTTATACACACTTTTAACATGTGTGCAAAAGTCAAGATTACAAACTCTTCAAGGCTTTATTAATCTTCAAAACCTGATTTTGAAGAGAGATATTTCATAATTTAAAAAATATTTTAAAATTTGAGAATATTATAGATTTCTAAATTTATTATTATTAATTATACTAAAAAAATATTATTAAACAGAGACACATTACTTCTTTTTGAAATTATTACGTTTTATCAAAATATGATTTAATTATGGACTATGTATTTTTTGTATTAAATCAAGTGAATAATGGATTCACAATAAATATTTACATATTTATTTTTAAGAGATATTTATTTTATAATATTACACTTTTTACGATTTAAAATATTAAGAAAATAATAATAAAAGGAGAAGAAAAGAAGAAGAATAAAAAGAGAGTGGCAATAGGTTGTTTTGTGACTTTTTGTACTTTAAAAAACTAAAAGTCAAATGATTCTTGTTTCAATTTAAGGCCTTAAGTGTAATTACTTGATTTTTTTTAAAAAATAAAATATTTTGTTATTAATAATTATAATTTTCTATATATATATATATATATATATGCCTCGTAATGGTTTCTAAGCTCAGTTTCTTTCAAATCCTCACTGGCTAGTATGTTAAATCTAAGAGGGGAAAAACAAACAAACAAACAAACAAAAACAAAAAAAAACAAAAAGCAAAGAAGGATCAACACCACTAAGCATTAAATCTTCACAAACATTATTAATTTATTTTTATTTTTTTGGATTTAAATGATCAATACACGTCATGTGTATGTTTCTTGTGACACTACTATGCCTTTCAAAACTCATGCAAATAATTGGAATCTCGTAACTTCTGACTCATTACAACTCACCAATACTTGGGAGATAGATTTTAAAATCATCACTCTGAATTCACGAGTAGGATGTGACGTTTCTCCCAGATTCCAAGACAATCAGATATAATTTGCGATATTCTATTTTCCATTCTTATTTGCATACATACAAACACACACACACACACACACATACTCCCAGGAAATACAAATACTCCCACCCACTTGGAACAAAGGCAACTAACTTTTAAGGCAGTGGAATAAACAAATCCTTCACATATCTATATACACACATATATATAGAGAGAGAGAGAGAGAGATATGTAATGAAATAAATAAATAATGCACATATTATTCAATGAAAAAACGTTATCTATCTACCCAAATGTCTAATCACTTACAAGCACGTACCTGATAGTGCTGTGCTGAGTTAGTGGGGGAAGGGGTCGTGTAACCAACCAGATACGAACAAGTGTCATGCCACTTGTTCTCACAAGTTTTGTCCATGTGGCGCTTAAAATCTACGTGGCACGAAGCAAAGAGAGAGAAGCCTTCCACGAAACAGCGTAACCTGGAAGTCAACGTCGGCGAGCCTCGGCGGCGGCGGCGGCATTGTTCTCTGATGAGAAACGGAACAACCAAGTCAAGCTACAAGCAAAGCACGAGCTCGTTCAGATCGTTGCCAAGGGCAAAAGGGGATCAACTGGCCCTTTTGTCCGTGATTCGTATCGACATCGCTGCTTCCTCAGATCGCTTCGTAACCAACCGGGAGATCTGCAAAGGAGTCGTGTGTGATAAAGACCGTGAGTGTGTGTGCGGCGACATCTTCACGAACATGGCACATTGTGGGTGTACCTGAAAACAGACGTGCGAGATTGCGTCGCTTGCTTGCCTGAATGGTCCCCTCCGAAATTCCCGGTTTTTTGTCTAGTGTTTCTTCGGGTAGGGTCTATGGTAAATAGTCATTCGCATTGTTGCATTTGGGTAGTTCACGGGTGAGTCTCTGAGGGTGTGCGTGGGACAGGGAAGGCCATGGTAGTTGCTGTGTGCACTAGAACCCATCGCAGGGATTGCGCGAACTGTTCGGAGTTGCGTTTGAGATAAAAAAAAAAGATGACGGTTTTGTAACCACATTACGCAGGTGAGAAGGCACATGCATCGGTGCTTATTTCAGCTGAATCCCGACGATTTATCCCTCCATGGATTTTCCAAGGACTCCAGTGCATGGGTTTCTTCACATGCATCGCTAGAGCTGTAGCCTCTTTCGGTGCTGTGGGCTAGCTTGGATTGTTTTAATGTATGTGAAAAGGAACTGTTGCCGCTGACTGTAATCCTAAACGTTTTTTTTTTTGTTTCCTTTCTTTCTTTGCTTTTCTTCTGACTGACATTTATCGTGCTTTCGCTGGTGATATTCACCGTAGGATTCATTCAATAACAAGTTTGAAGTGAGACATTGCGATATATCCTCCAATTTAAGTCGATATTTCGACACTAAAAGTGCTTGGTCAATGGTTAATGTTGGTCTTGGACTATTGAATTACCTAGGTACGATTCTTGATGGTCTATTTTCTCGGCTTGGTGCAATCTCAATGAGATGGTGAAGTAATCTCACAAACTGCATTCCAGATGCGCCTCACAGAAATGCTACTTCTAAATAAAAAAATGCTCGAATTTGATCGTGGGTTGTTTTCATTTGTTAGTGTTTGTAATTTTCCAAGCATAATTTGGCTTCTTGCACACTTGATTCACGTGGAATTTCTTCCAATCCGTTTCTGTTGGTTTCTCCAAGTTTTTGGAAGACCAAGAGCGTTATATATAAATGTAGTGTGGATCGTCCAAGGATTCCCAAGTTTCCTGTACAAAGACATTGAAAGAATAGCACGATGAAGAAGTCCGCTAAATTTGCTACATGATCAACCTGGCAGCATCCAAAGCTCAAGTAAAAAGAACTTCAACCTTCATTGCCTGACGAAATGACTTTTGATACAATCACCACCATTCCTGGACAAATGCTGCAAATGCACGTAGATCCTTGCATTCATCACTGACAGGAATTTACAAATTAAAATGTCGAAACCAGTAAAAATGAAGCAGCTAACACAAGCATCTGGGTTACTCGAACAACGTGCTAACAACGTAGCCTTCTAGGCAGTATGTATCAGATTTATTTCCTCTATGGACCCTGCCAGAGGGTTACTCTGCAAAACTCTAGCAGTCGTAAAGGCACATCCTAAAATTGCTAGATCCATTCAACATATTCACAAACCTCTTCAAGCTCGTTAATTAGAACAAACAAACTCCCACTTCCATCTGCTTTGTTTCCTTCTTCAGAGGGAGTTGCTTAGTCAAGAAACCCAACATATTGTACAACCGTAAGGATCGCGTGCTGTAAGGCTCCTGCACCTTTTTTGTCATGTCTTCAATCAAACAAGTCGGGCCCTCAGAGTATCTTCAAACCATCCTTAATTTGGCTTAACACTGAAGCAATGACCCAGCTGCTAGTATCCTGCTCAGAATGTACATGAGACCACTATATTTGACTCTTCCCAATTAAAATACATGGAGGGTTGGATATTGGCCACATTGGTCAAGTCAACGCAACTTCCTAGACAGGGCTACGAAGTACCCATTTCTGCTGTACCTAAAGAGCAATGTAAAGGACGAAGCTTAGAGCAATGTAAAGGACGGCTTCGTGACCTAAAGTGATATCAAGCTCTGAGGTTTAGTGCAGGTCAAAAATTTCACACATCCAAACTGAAGGCACAGCCAGATCACCCTCGGGCCATACTGGGTCGATATTGGAGCTTCGTGTGCTGCAGCGGACCAAGCGATGGAATTCTGTCTAGAGCCACCTTCCGGACGTATTCAAACTCATCGTTATTCAAAGCCTGCGCAATTTTTGGTAGTGTACAACAATTTTCTGTATCTGAGGTTGAAGACTTCATGATACCCAAGTATTGATGAACTTCATGGGGCTTCAGCGCTTCAAGTAAGTAGGGTAACAATCTGGAGTGGGAGACCTCCATAACCAGGAAAGACTGCCCTAACATCGCCTGCTGCTTGTTGGTCGCGAATCCAGCCGCCTCTAGAAGTGGAAGTTGCTCCTTTTCTTCTCCCTGGAAGTGTTCCTTCGCATGGACCTAATGACAATCATTCCAATACTAGTAAACAACTGCAAATTCTGAGAGGCTCTAATCTTCTTAGCTCGTGTAACGAAATATTAAATCCAATATTCATCGCACATCCGTATCCTGTCATGCGTGGACCAGGTTTACTTTTTTGATTTCGGAAATCTATTGGTTAAACAGCAGAATGGCAGAAAGTGTTAAGTCTTAAAGATCTTGTGGAAAGGCTATTGAAGTGAAAATTGTTTTTGATTTTCACTGACCTCAAAGGCTTCCACACGACGAGCAAGGGCAGACAGTGCTTCCCGATGGTCGAAGTTGCCCTGTCTCAAGCTCATAATACCTTTGATATCCTCCCGAATTCCATTCATCACAGGCAAGTCTCGGGCATGATCTTTTATTGCAGATTCAGTGAGCGCTGACACATCAGCAATAAGACCGTAAATTTCAGTTTTAGCAAGCAAATGACAAAAATGAATCTGAAATTCCTAATACCAATTGCACTTTACCAAAACAACAGACACTACACTTCAAGGCATTACAAGTGTTACACTTCAAAAACGGGTATCCAATTGACTTCGTTGTGCAGAGTAAGTAACAGTAAAATTGTTTCACCCCACTAAAATGTGAATGAATCGTGTGCAGAACTACCGAAAACTGAACAAGCAAGAGTCTTACTTGATTATATACCTTGGTCAGCCGTTTCGAGCGCTGGGAATATAATTCTTTCCTCCATCTGGGCATGCTCTTGCAGGAGCTCCAGCAGACGTCCATACAATTTGGGAACCTCCTTCAATCGCGTTCCGAAGATGGTCCTTTGCACGGAATCCAGTGAGGTTTTCCTGTTAATACTATCAAGTTCCTTCACAAGCTTGACAAAGGCATCCAAATGCCGGAGTATACTCTTATGTTGCAAAAGAGTCATGCAGACCATCGGTTGAGAAGGTTTCTCTATTGAGGATTTAACCAAGATTGTTTTCGACAGCTCGGTTCCCACTTGCACAGGCTTATAGCATTTAAAAGTGCACATGGCAGACTTGTATGCACACAATCTCGAGTAAGAAGGATTTATCGCAAAGCCTCGGATGTATGTAATAAGATCCATCAAAGAGAGAAAGGGTATGAGGTAGACATCCACAAGTGTGAACTTAGAGCCCAGAAAATGTTTGCCCTCTTTGTGATGTAACTCTAGCCCACTATCTAAATGTGCCAATGATTCATTCAACCTTGCCTCTAAGGAGTCCTGTGCATATGGATCCCCGTTGTGTAATGCATCCTCAATAACATTACTGAAGTGATCTCGAATGTAAGAAACCCACTGTGCTACTTCTTTCTCTAGCCCGTTTGGAAGTAGGGAATTCTCAAAGTTTTCTTCGACATAAGCCAAAATTGAGTCAACGGAGCCTGTAATTTTGCGATCTCCATGCTGAAAAACTGGGAACTTTCCATCTGGACTAATAGTGCCCAAATCCTCTCCCTTGCAACCTCTAAGATCATCTGGCATCACCAAGGAGGCTTCCACTGGTACGCCCTGCAAAGATGTCATAAAATTATGGTATCAATACAACCAGGATGATAGTGAGCATACCAAAATACGAAGGACGCTTCTAAGTTATAATAATCGCTTACCACTCACCAAAACTTGTAAACTGGTGACAAAATAACCAATGCTTGATTCAATAGAAACTCTTTTAGAACAACCTCCAGGTGATCCTTATGTAGAATGAGGATATAAGAGGTCTTAAAGCATGCATGTAAGCAGGTCCTTGCAATGAACAACTTCTGATTGATAAATTTGTACCTTCTCCAGAAGTGCGATGCGCACGCGTTGTGTGTATGGACAAGTGACGTCTCCGACCAATTTTACTTTTCTTGTACCTTCGTCTTCGTATGCTGGCGATGATGCCCAAGACGGCACCACAGCAGACTGTTTCGAAGTCTCCACATGCTCACGAACCTGCTTTTGGCAGCATCCTCCCATAGTGTCTGGCTTTGGGAAACGCAAAATTATTTCCCGTTTGATAATATTTTCGTCCTTGAATAACTCCGTGAAGACGCTCGATTCGTAAAAATGGTAAGGAATCACCAGCCGGTACTTTTAGTTATTCTGTCAATAGATTTCTTCTGCATGGGAAATAAAAATGCTAGAGCACGTATTGTATGTTTCCACTGATAAGCGAGTGGTAGAATACGCTGCATCGCCCCAACCTCGAAGAAGAAAAGAAGCATAGTAGCTTCATCAGTTTCCAGCTCCAGCTAAGGAATCTCCTGCAATGAGACGAAACACTTGCAACGATTAATATCATTTCGTGTTGTTAAGAATATAATCTTAGACAGGGCATAAGGAGAAAACACCACAAAGATGACAAGATTAGGTGCATTCTGCGCTCGATTGAGAGAATACAGCTGAAAAATCGACGGAAACAGTCAAACCACAGATGAAAAAGCGACATTTTGTGAAAGGCACGATCCCAGCTTAGTTTCCAGTTCACCTGCAGACCTTCCCAATTAATTAATTTCAAACCAGCCAACCTCCCTTGTATACTCATGACCACAACTTCCATGGGAGAAGATGCGGAGCTTATCGCAGCGGACAATACAAGCCCCGATAATCAAGCTACTCTGTTTCTCTACAAATCTCTAGAGGACACTGTAGCGGGAGGAATTCAGAGAGAAGGGTAAGACGAAGCAGGAATGTCAAGACTAGCTACAGAAATGCACATGCAGCAGCACAATTGCCAACTCCACGAGAAGTACAAAGATTGCGATAACATGAGAAAAGAGAAGTACGAGCTTAGATCTTTGTCCAGACAAATTCAGTTTCTGAGGTCTCACAATTGAAATTCAGTGCCCTTTTCAGAGAAAACTTCAAGTCGTGTATGATAGAATGTCAAGATGCTGCACGATGTATCCAGTGCTTCTCAAGCGTCTAATTCGAATTCATGACCTTGCTCAACAAAAGCATAGAACAGAACCAACATCCTCAGAAGGCATCTCTGCATCTTTGTCCAAAAAAACGTCCCAAACATATCGAGGTATAATTCTTGATAAGGAGATCCATAGCCCTAACTTTCCAGTTCTTGGACTCACCAGACTGACAGGAAACAATAGAGAGAGACACAACCAAAGCTCAACCGTCCACAGAGACCGAAGAACTGGGACCCCACGATCAACAATGAAGACATTTGCTTTGCGTGCAAGAAGGTCGTAGGACCTCCCCATCTCACCAGCTCTCACGAAACTCCACACCTCATACTCGTCAACAATCAGACCACACGCCGGAAAATCCCCCACAGCGCGAAAACTCATGCCGAAATCCTAAAGCTCACTCCGAGCCTCTCCAAATAAGAATCTACCTTCAAAAGCCCGAGCTCCACGACATGATGCACCTCACCCTTCACAGGCACACACACACACCCGCTCAGCTCCCAACTCCGACTGGAGAGACCCAATTCGCCCCACTCCCTTCGTCTCCTAAGTCTCTCCTCTTCCTCTTCTTCTTCAGACAAGATGCCGGAAAGAAAAAAGATGCTGCGGCGCATTGAAGAATCTGGACGCGGCAACCTCGATCGGATCACGTCTCCCCGTGGGACGTCGTCGTCGTCGCTCATGCAGATGATCCCAGTGGAGGAGGGAATTGGACCCGGCTGCTGCCCCAGATGCCGGTTCCACGAGACCACTGGCGGGCATCGCCGTCACTGCAATTGGGGGTTGCTGCTACCGAATTCGGTGTGACAAATTCATTCGCTTGTGACCCTCCTGAAGCGGAGGGATCGCTGCTGGTGATGGTAGTGATCTTTCGATCTATCGATCGATCTGGTGTGGGGCTTTTGTGACTGATTGACTGACTCCGTTACAGCGCATCGCCATCGCCATCGCCATCGCCGGACGGACCTTTTCTGGCGAGGAGGACCTTCATCCATCCATTTCGATGAAAGTATGTGGATTGATGTTTGTGTGGATGGATGTGGGTTCGTTCGCCTTAGCTGGCACCTTGCGTGGTCGTTTTTTCCAGCTCAGCACATTGCGTGGATAGTTGCATGGTTATTAGTGGTTATTATTATTATTAGTAGTATGGGCAATATTAATATTTCGCATTTTACTTACTGGTGCTGGTGCTTTGATATTATCAAAAGTGGGATTGTCTGTGCACTTGAAGTCAACATGAAGCATGATAAAAGAGTGTAAAAAGGGTCTCTTGGACATGGTTTTTGGATGTGCTCGAAGGGTTGAGAGTCTGTTTCTAAAATCAAACATGCTTTTTCAAATACATATATATATATATATATATATATATTTATTTTGGTTGTTGGTTGTTGGTGAAAAGGACTTTGTGCTTGGAATGAATCTTGTGCTTTATTGACTTCAACTTGGCATGGACTTACTGGTCCTCAGAGTAGATATTGTAGTTCATTTTCAGCAAACTTGGCAATGGAGATGTTGGTTGTAAATCATTATTTTGTTATTTGGGGTGTGTAGTATTCAAACACCAGTGAGTGTTTATGGAAATACCATGAGACTAGTTGGAGAATTGTTTTTTTAACAGATTTGCCAATAATTAGAATGAAATAATTTGAAGACATTGCTATCATGATGTGGGTTGGTTTGATAATTAAACATAACCCGTACTTGTGATATTGAAATTTTAGAAAAATCCTTTAACCAAATTATTAATAAATTAACTAAATTTGGACATATTCATAAATCAAAAAATAGAATAATTTATAAAGGATACTGAGGCACATTTCGAAGTGGTGACCAAAACATACTTGTAAATAAAAAAAGATCTTATCCAAAAAAGAAACCTCTATCAGCCAAGTTGAAATGGAGAATTTATGATTCATATAGGAATGATGCATGGAATTAAAACATTTAAGCTGGTTTGAGTTTTCATAGTGCTGGAATGTATATGATTTGTTCTTATTGAATGAGGTGCTGGATTTAAATTTGAATCAGATGATCAAATAATTTACATGGTGTTTTTTAAAAAAACGTAATGTGTTTTTAGTATATAAAACTAAACATTTTTATATTCAAAGCCTTAATTTTTAATCAAAGATGTATGATAAAACTTTGAAGCAAAAGATGCTTATAGACTAAGATTAATAAATAGTTGAATAATAAAAAAATATTTTTAAATTTATTTTTATAGTAAATTCTATTAATTTTAAATGTATTTTCTAATAAAACAAAAACAAATCTAAGAAATCTGCACGATGCTTTAATACTTATAAAGCAAAATATCTTGCTTTTTCAGTTTAATACTAAAAACAATTAATATGTGTTAATATTATATATATATATATGCATTTAAGGTCTTTAAAAGAAAAGAGTTTGATATTTATCTTACTTTTAATTATAATTTAAATTATCTTATAAAACTACTTACATCAAAAGTTATAAATTAGATTAAATTAAAATAATAATATATTAAAGTAAGAAAATTTTATTTAATTTAAAAATATATATTATGTATTTTACACATGCATATATATATATATATATATATACACAAACATAGATACATATATTATTTTATAATTTAACACTATTATAAAAATTTGGTGTCTTTTGTCTTGCCTCTTTAGTTATAGTATACCAATTAGTTGCATACTTCAATGAGAGATTTTAAGAATCACAATATATCTAAAAATATTAAAAAGATCTTTTATGGAAATATCTTAGAGACTAAAAAGTTCTTAAAAAGATGACCTTGTTACCTAATTATTGTTAAAGCTTTTATAACCTCCTTCTATTACAAACATAATATGTCATCTTGTGTAGTAACAACTTCTATTAGTATCACCATGTACTAAATTTGAATTTAAAGTTATATCTCCATCTATTTAAAAAAATAAATAAAAATATAAACAAGTGATTTATTTTTATTTTAAATTCAATACTAAAATTTTAAGAATCTAAATGGTTTTTTTTTAATATAAAATAATTCAAATAATATATTTTAAAAATAAATGTATTAGATGCTATTTATCCATCTTGCATAATAAAAAAATTATAAAATATTTACAATATAATAAATTACAAAAATATTTACAAATATATATATACATATATATCTATATATATATATATATATATATATATATATTATTCTTATATTTAAACAAACCAACTACTTTTCTTAATGGTTGGTCTTTGATTAAGTTCAATGTTGATAACAAAGTTTAGAGAAGTTTTATAGTACACATGCAATATTCTTAGACAACTCCAATTTGTGCACACTAATATCATATCCATGCTAATGTACAAAAGTTATTTATAATTTTTTTTGTGACACTTCAATGTTAAAAATTATTTAATCTTAAGTTTTCATTATTATCTAATTTAACAAAAACTATCTATTATATTTTTTGGCATGTTGAACAATTTTTAAGATTCTACAAAAGAATTTGGAAAAGAAAAAGGAATAATAAATTTATTGATATTGGTAATTATTTCAAATGTGATTTTTTTTTTAAAAAAATTAATATTTTAAGCCTTAAAATATTAAAACTCAGTTATAATAATATACCCTGATTTTATAATAAAGTAACTTATCACTATTTTTTTTATTCTTTAAAATTAATTGAATTGGTTTTTTTTGAATTTTTATAGTAAGGCTATTATTTTTTTACAAATCATTAATGATTTATTCAATAAAGAATTTTTAGTTTTATAATCAACTTCAAAAAGAAAAAAGAACCCCAAATTGTAGATGGTAATTATAATTGACAAGAAATATTGTCATCTTATGAAAACTCTATGAATAAAATAAATTGTCTAATAAGAAAAAATCTGGTAAATATTTTCTATAAAACTTAATGCACATAATGCAATGACTAATTTGGTCAAAATATAAAGAACACACATCCAAATAAATTGTAACAAAATAATATATTAACATACGATTCAAAAATAAAAGGACATATATATATATATATATATATAGATTATTACAATATTCTTGAGACAAGTGTCAAAGTTAAAACACACTTTTCTAAAAAAACTATGTAAGCACATGATGCACCTAAAGATTGAATCCATATCTAGAAAAACTATTCAATATTTTCTAAAAAACGTATTTTTACCTATGTATTTTCTAAAAATCGTATGAAGTATACTGTTAATTTAAAAAAAAAAGTAAAAGAATATTTGAAGCTTTACATAAAACTTTATAATCATATTGAATAATTTGGTGACTTGATAGAATATTAAGCTTATTATATGAAAATATTTTGCATGATTTCTTAGATTTCTTAAATGATATATATATATATATATATATATATATATAAATATTCTATTAATTATTTTTTCAAATTATTTTGCAATCAACAAGTTAAATTTTCAATCACGTTTTTTATAATCAATTAAAATAATTTGAAAAAAATCTATAATAACTAAAAATCTTTAAAATATTTTTTTGTAAATTATTTTGATAACTTAAAGAAGAATATTTTTTGTAAGATAGTATTAATAAAAAATTGATTGTGCTGTAGTTTGAGCAAAAATAGCTAGCATAATGATACAACTTCACTTATTTGTTCTAATTTATATTTGAATAAAAGCATCTCTTATATATTTAATTGTCATATCTAGTCCTAATTAGTTAAAAGTTAATCTCTCTTCTTATATTTTTTTCACATAACATATCAAAATATCTTAAGACATAATGTGATGCTTAAGTATATACATAGATGTATTATTAAGTGATTGACTAAATAATTATAATCATTTTTTAATTTTAAATATTCAAAGTAATAGTGAAATTTGATTATGTAACATGCGATAAAATGTTAAAATACTACTAGTAAGAACTATTCTTAATGTTTTCTTACAAAATATCAAAAAAACAAAAAAGTATTCTTTTTATTGATTTCAATAGAATTTTATTCAAACTTGAATATATGTATTTTTTAAATAGTATTTCATATTAATGGTAGCTTTATAGAAATAATTAATTTATTTTAAAGCTTGTAAATAGCTATTACTACTAATATGTAAAAAAGACAACTTTGATATCTTTTACCTCAACTTGTAATTATTAATTGTATAGAAAATATAATTGATATTAGTAACTTAGGATCTTGTAGTTTGTTAAACATAAATTTGGTATAGCTGAAACCAATTTAATTTGATATTTTTTAAAATACATCATTTTGTTTGTGTTTTTTTTACAACTACCAGTAAATTTTATGTAATGTCTAAAAATGTATAAGTCTTATTTTGTCGAGAAGTTACACAAATTAACACAAACAAAAAAAAATCAAATTTCAAATTTTCAAACATAAATAAATAAATATATTCTTATAAAAAGTACACATTGGTTACTTATCTAGTAAGTCACAATTATATATATACACACACAAAAATCTTTATTTTGGAAATAATAATCCAATTCGATATTTTAATAGATAATACAACTTTTTGTAATTAAAAAAGTCATATTAAGATAATTTTATAAATTAGAATAAGCAATGTATGTACATAATATTTTCTAATAAATTACTATTTTTAATCAGCGTCTTAATAAGACAATAATCACAAGAGTTCAACTTCAACAAAGTAAACAAAAAAAAAAAAAATGCTTATCTAAATTAAAATATAATTAGTTACATAAAATGTTTAGTATAAAAACAATTATCAATTTTAATTATGATTTTTACTTCTTCTATTAATTTTTCCTTTAAAACTGATATGTGTAATAGGATTTGTGCCGAACTTTAAGAAATCTTAAATAAACAGTTATAGTTAGAACAAAGCATATTAAAATGATTTAGTTTTTTAATCGAGTTATAAATATATAGATCTTCAACCTCTTGATTATTGTTATAAATTTCTCTATTCTTTCTTACATACAATTTCAGTCTGTAAGGTAAAACACAATCTTTGCATTTTTATCATATTGTAATCAACATAATCAAATCTATTTTATAAATTTATGTTCAAAAAGATAAAATTCAATTTATTTTTATCATTTAGTAGTGGATTTAATTAAAATTTTAAAATTTTAAAATTTAATCGACACTAAATTATAAATAATAGTAATTTACGATCAAATTATATTTTTTTACTTAATGTTTAATTTTAAAATAAATGTTCATGTGCTCTACAAAATCCACAAAACTCTACTTTTTTTTTAAAATGTGATATGAACCAAAGTTTTTCTTTATTGATTCAATATTTAATATTTATTATTTGTGGTGTGGACCACTTGGAAGTCAATTCCAAATGCCCTCTTTGCATGAGTTAAAAAGTACACAACCCAAGTATGGCAAAGGTCCCCCTATGAACATGAACTATTACCTTCCAATTCCTTCGCAGCTTTAGGGCATCAACGTGCAGCTTTAGTGGTTAGAGAGTGGACAAGGAAGGGGGAGGAACCCCAGAGGTACAAGTGTACCTGCCCAGCTGCCCATCACGGTTTAAAAAACACCGCTTCTACTACTCTCACCAGGGTGCGAAAGCTACAAAGAGCTGCTTGGACTGTGTTTGTTTTTGTTTCGCTGCCCGGATTCCAGGGGGCTGTGGAATCGTATCCTTCTATACGATATCCATACATATCATATACGACTTCGTTTGGCCGGGCCGGGCTGGGCTGGGGTGCCTCGCGTGGCGACCCGGGGGAGCTAGACCCGACCCGTCCTGTGTGGCATGCCTCTGCTGCTCCTTCCTCGGTCGGCTTGGCAGAAACCCTTGAGCTTCGTCGGGAAATTCTTAACTGCCAGGGCTGTTGTTGTTGCCGAGTCTTTTTAGGTTACTGGATTCGACCACTTTTCTTACATGCACAGCGTCGTCCTGCTCTGATTTCGACGTCTCATGTGTTTATTTTCTTCTCCTAACTCTCGCATCGTCCGTTATCGATTCCGTCGTTTGGAATTCGCGAGGCGGTTAATTTTTTAGGTTTTTTTTTTGGTTTTCGATCCTCCTCTTTGGCGGACTTTTGACGACGTCTTTAGTGTTTTAGAAAGGGGTTTGGAGTGATAGTCGTTATATTGCGTCTCAGGAAGTTGTTGACAGAATTTGGAGTTAAATTATCTCGTGGAAGGGTTTAGTTAGGGTTTGGAAGTCATGCCGCGGAGATCTAAGGTCCAGGCAGGGCCTGGACAGGTCCTGATCAAGCAGAGGACCCAGGCGATGATGAAGGAGAGATTGAGCAGGGCGACTGCCAAACATAATAAACCCCTTGAGTCGAAGATTGATGTGCGTGATTTGGACGATGTAATGGAGCAAGCAGAGCTTGCTGGTCAAGTTTTCTCCGCAGAGAATCCCCTTGCCGACCTCCTAGTTAAACCGTACGCTTCTGAGGAATCGTTAAACTTGCGAGATTATCTCAAATTGATGCTGTTGATTTCGCTGACTTTCTGTTACTTCCTGTTTTGCTTTTTGAGGCATCTCAACACCTGAAGAATCTGGTATGTCGTCTTGTTCGTGCAGCACTTTCGTTCCGCGAGTTTTAGGCCTAGTCTTACTGGACATGTGAATTGTGTTGGTGCAGGGAGACTGATGAGGACGCTCTCGAAGCTTCAAGGGAAGAACGTCGTGCTGAGGAGGCACTGCATGCATCAAGCCTTACCATTCCAAGGCGGTGTGTTCCTTTCACTCCGCCCTTGCAATTCATGCTACAATTGGATTGACTTTTTAGGGTCTACTTGTACTCTATCATATTAATTGTTGGAGGATTGCATGTCTGGGTTGAGGGCTGATTCAGGAATCTTTTGCGTGATCTGCAGACCCAAGTGGACATCCAGTATGACTCCACAGCAGTTGGATGTTAATGAACGTCAGCATTTCTTGGCCTGGCGACGCGGTTTGGCAGAGTAAGTGTCTCTCTCTCTCTCTCCCATTTTTTTTTTTTTTTTTTTTTTTTTTTTTTTTTTTTTCCATTATGCCTTGAAGATTCTCCTTGGATTTCAGTGACAAGATTCAGAGACTTTTCTGAACAACTTGTGGATGGTTGACAGACTGGAGGATAACGAAAAGCTGGTGCTGACGCCGTTCGAAAAGAATCTCGATATATGGAGGCAATTGTGGAGAGTAGTGGAACGCTGTGACTTGGTATGTGCACCATCTATCGGTTTTTTCTGCCTGAAAAACATCCATTTTGTTGGATTCTTGTTGGTTTTGCTTTAGAATTGTGAGGATTTTTTTGAATGGATACAGTTTTGTGGTAGTTGATTAAAACTTCATTCCTGTATTCAGATTATCATGGTCGTCGATTCTCGGAACCCGCTTTTTTACCGTTGTCCCGACTTGGAGGTACGCGTTTTGAAATCATGCAACCTTTTGATCATAAACGCGTGTCATTCAGTTCGTTTTATGGTTTTTTGAAAATGATCGATAGCCCTCTCAGTCACATGACGAAGGACTTGAAGCTAATAATGTTTTTATTTCGAAATGCGTATGGATGTTATTTTTGTGTAAGCATTATCACGTATTAATGAGATTTTATTTATTTATTTATTGATGGCTAGGCCTACGTCAAGGAGCTTGACCCCCACAAGGAAACTATGATACTTTTGAATAAATCTGACCTCTTGACACGAGATGCAAGGTGCGCACTTTGTGCGAGCCATGCATATTTTTATACCTTTTACTTGTCTTTCTTATTCCTTGCTTGATACAGAGGATGACCGTTGTCTTCTACTAATATTTCTTCCATTATCTTTTCGTACTGTAGATGTGCCTCGACTCTTCGATTGTTTTTGCTTCTAGAAACAAGCACTTCATTTTTATTTATTTATTTATTTATTTTAATGATTTGTCCTTTTTTCCGATAGTAGTCTTAAATGTTGTTTCTTCTTCGTTGCTATTTTAATTATGAATGCTTTGCGGGTTCTGCCTGTGATAAAGGGTGATCCTCTTGATATTGAGTGCTAAGATTCTCACTATATTTTCAGGAAAAAATGGGCTAAATATTTAAAAGAACAGGGCATTTCGTATATGTTCTGGTCTGCTAAAATCGCCACCGCTATCCTTGAAGGGAAAGTGTCAGCGGATGCAGCTGTGCCCAAGTTAGATGAGGAAGAATCTGATGATGAAGACGCTGTTATTCTGGAACGTGAGGAACTCCTTAATCGAGTACAAAAAAAGGCTGAGGAAATCGCAGAAGCAAGGCGAAAGGCAACACAAGTGTCACTGTCTCAACATTTGGAAACGCATGGGAGCTCCTTAGGCCGGGATGTTATAGCAGCCGCTTCTGTGGCTGGGACCCCAAGTGCATCTGGTAGAGTTATGGTTGGTTTTGTCGGGTACCCCAATGTGGGGAAGTCGTCCACCATCAATGCTCTAGTTGGTCAAAAGAAAACAGGTGTAACATCTACTCCGGGCAAGACGAAACATTTTCAAACGCTTATTATGAGCGAAAGGCTGACTTTGTGCGATTGTCCCGGGCTTGTGTTTCCTTCTTTCACAAGTTCGCGGTCAGAGATGGTTGCTGCCGGAGTTCTCCCAATAGACCGAATGACTGACCATCGGGGGCCTATTCAAGTTGTGGCAAATAAAGTCCCAAGAGCAGTTCTGGAAAGTACGTATGGGTTTACTTTACCTGCACCAAAACCCTATGAACGTGCAGATAGGCCACCTACAGCAGCCGAGTTACTTAGAGCTTATGCTATGTCCCGCGGGCACGTTGCTTCTAGTGGCTTACCTGATGAGACTAGAGCTTCTAGAACTATATTGAAAGATTACCTTAGTGGAAAGTTATTATTTTGCTATGCTCCGCCTAATGAAGAACAAGCTGGGTTCTCACAAAGGATTGCTAATAGTAACGAGGATGACGATGAAGATGAAAATGATGATGAAGATGAAGACGAGCTCGTTATGGAAGATGGTTCGGACGATGATGACTTAAGTGTAGGTGATGTTGCTGAATCTTCGCAAGGCAAATTGTTAGGAGTAAATGATGCGAACATGGAGGACGTATTTGGTGATTTAGATACCTTGACAATTGGTGCTGATTTGAGAGGCCCAAAACTGAAGAAGGGGAAGGAGAAGGCACCTCACAAGATGCATAGAAAAGCTGCTCGTAAGAAAGATCGGACCTGGAGGGTCACAAACGATGGATCTGACGGGATGCCTTGTTCAGGTGTTACGCAGAAAGCTGTCAGCCATGGGGCTGCCAAAGTTCGACTTTCCGTCTGATTTGCTTGAGGTGTGGTCACAAGAGAATCCTCCATTGTGCAAATGAAGGCTTGGAACAGTGGTAGATGTCGTGGTGGCTTAAGCCGTGGATATCTGCATAATTTTGAAGAATTTTTGTAGATTCAGATGCATCTACAGTTAAGTGACTTAGAAACTTGAGATTTTTCTTAAGAGTTGGGTTAAGTGCCCGGATTATAGTCTTGACATCAATTGTACCATAGTCACTGGTTTGATGACTGGCGCATGAGGCCACATTTAAGTTTACAAAAATCTGGTTTCGCTATTGATTTTTTTTTTTTTTTCTCTTCTGGTCTCAAACCATCATCGTGGTTTTAACATAATGAAAATCAAGGATCACAAGTGATGACAGGGATGGAAAATGTACATACGTAATAATAGCCTTTCTCAAGGCTGAGGCCGATAAAGTTTGCAACTGTTTCGATTCTACGCATCCACATTTGTTTTTTTGGGCACAAAATGGACATGCTTGGGGGTGTACTTGATGCTTTAATTTGATGTGATATATATGAGTAAATTAGGTGGATATAAAAGCAACAAATTGGTGTAAGATTCTATGGTACATTTCTTATTTGAGTTTTTGTAGAATACCATGCTATTGGGAATCATTCAGGAATTCTACTTGATTGTCAACTTGGATCTGATCACAATCATGTTTTTTGTTGTGCAAGTTATATTTCATTCCCTAAAGAATATTTATTGTTGTCAAACTAGATTGTCCTCTCCAGGTATTTATTGCCTCTCTTCCATATCAAATGACTCAAATAAGCATTACTTAGCATGCAACATGTCTAAACCATACATCTTATCAATTAAAAGAAATAAATCTTTCTAATATTAAGTTCTATTAGGTAGTACTTAAATACAATTTAGAATAGTTTTTGCAAATCTATGCTCTACTTAATTTTGTTGAATATTTAATCTAAAATTTTCCCAATTACCAAAAGGAAGTATTAGAAGCAAATGTTAGTTCATTGATGGGTTCATAAAAAAAAATTTGATACTCACTTCTCCATATTTGTTTTTGGAGATATTTTTATATTATCTAAGAATTCTTTTGCTTAGTTTTCTAAGTTGTTAAGGATAAATTTATTATAATATAATATTATTAACTGAAGATCAATACAATATAGTTTATTTTTGGGAGATAAAGACAAACTCAATCTTGTGTTTTTTTCAACCTCCATATGTTGAGTAAAAACTTGAAAACTCACTAGAGATTTTTTTTTTTTTTTTTTTTTTTTTTGAGTTTAAAGAAGGTACTGTTAATGTCACTATAACTTTTGCTATTGCCACCACAATTTTTGCTACTACCACTATAACTTGCCATCTACTTAACATATTTCTTAAGTATTTTTTTATTCCAAAAAAAATCTATTAATATTACTAAGAATAACAATAGGGTATTTTCTATGCATTAACTTTATTGACTGCATTACCTATATTTAGAATAACTAATTAAGAAGATGTAAAGATCAATTAAATCTCTTAAACGACTACATTACATTCAGTTTCTATTTTAATTTGAGACTGTAATAAAATTGCAATCTGATCTAATAATAAGTCTAAGTTTTTCCTTTTGAAAAATTTTAATGACTTAATTAGGGCCATTAAAATTTTAATTCACAAAGGTGCACTCAACAGAGTACTCATTCTTTTTCTTTTCAATGATTCAAATTTTCAGAATCATAGAGTATTTTTTCATGAATACTTTGAAGGATTTTCAAAATCCTAAAACCTATTGTACATTTGAGGCTGCAAACAATATGAATCTGTGAAAAATCAATATTTTTTCTCCTTTAGTTTGATGGTAATATATATATATATATATATATATATATATGTTGAACTTATGCATTCAGAATAGTAAAATACTTTTGGGTGTAATTGTTTTTCGGATAAAATATAAACGATGACACACTAAGCTATGTGAAGTAAAATAAGTCTATTTGTATGTATTGAATTAAGGTTGAAGGTATTGTATTAAGTATTGAAACATTACTACTGTACTTAATATAGTCTCTAGCCATGTAATGCTCAAAATAGTCTGACTAATACAACAAACCTATGGTACATTTATTTACTTATGCATCCATCCATGTTTCATCCATCCATATTCATCTACGATAGCAAACATCAGCACATCTACGTATCTGGGTCCTTAGGAAGATCTACAGAACCAGTGATTTGTCGAGGAGTCTACGTTTCGGAAGGCAGAATGTACCACCTGAGGGGGCTGGCTCTGCGGCGGAGTTCACGAAGTGATCGAAACTGGAGGCGCTGAGAGAGAGAGTTTCGGCGCCGTCGTGGACTTCCTTCCTTTCAGAATACTTAATGTAATCACGAATAAGAACCCAGTTTATTTTTAGTGGCACTATTGGGCTTTGGAGACTTGGAGTAGAGTAACTTGCAGTGAGTAGGATGTGCCGGTGGTCGTCGTTATAGAACACAGGGGAATTCTCTGGTGGCTCCTGCTGACGACGATCATGATGTTCAACAACAACAACAACCGTGACAGCCAATACACTACTGCGTCTAATTCTAGCGTCCCCCCCACCCAGCAGAACCAAGCAGTAGTCTATCTGAACTCTGGTGCGGTTTCCTGTCTTGTCTGCTTCTCTATCTCTCTCAATATATATACAGTTGCTTCTTATTGCTTCAGTGTCCGTATGCCTCATGTGTTTCATTAGGGCGGCCAGTCGTCATGGAGGTGATCGATTCACGCTGTGATCGGACCACCAGCCCCTTGACAGTGCGAGAAGAGTTGCCAGTTTCGCCAGCATTTCCTCTTTAATCTTCGTCGATCAATAGGAGGTGTTGTGCTGGTGGTGCTGTGTGTTTCCGTGGATCGTGTCTAGTGGATTGTTGAAGGTGGCGATTTCTTCTCAGTGTAATTGTGATTTACGAGGAGAGTATTGACTCATTAATGTTGCCACAATAAGGAGATGGCGACGAGGATAATCCAAACAGGAGGAGGAAGCCGGAAGAGGACTCTGAGAATAAATTTGAATGCCGCTTCTGTGACATGAAGTTCCCCAAATCCCAGGCTCTGGGTGGACACATGAATCGTCACCGGGTGGGTGAGTGCCGTTAATTTTTTTATTTATTGCTGCTGTTGCTGTTATTTTAAACTACTGAAGCTTGATTCAGAAGCCAACCCAGTTTTGATATCCTTAGGTCATGAGGCCAAACATTCGCACACTTCTCATCCTTTTCCTTCACCCGCTCCCGCTGAATTATCCCTTTTTTTCTTTTTTTTCTTTCTTTGTTCCATTTTTCTTCCTAGTATTATTCATATGTTAAGGGATCTAGTAAAGAACACACACAAACACAGAGATGTGTGTGTCTATATGTATATATATATATATATATATATGTATATAAATGGATATGTGCATCTCACTTTTATTCACCTTATTTCAGAGAGAGAACAGGAGGAGATACAAAAGGCAAGAAATCTTCTAATTGCACAGCAGCTTCCTCCACCGTATTATGCGGGTGCACAATATTATTCTCGAATGTGTGTTCACCATCCTCAAGCTTTTTACAATTACTAGTTTTCTACTACCAAGTTCTAAAATCTTTTTTTTTTTTTTTTTTTTTTTTTTCGCTGTTATTTTAAAATCTTCTCATTGAACTAGATGTTTCCAGATCTGTTTAGTTTCTCTTCTATTTTTACAACTTTGGTGAACTTGAATTTACAGGGATGGTGCAAGCACTTCTGTTGATCCGACTGGAAATTTTCCTTCAACTGGAGGCTCCTTCATGACACCTCAGCTGCCATTCTATCAACCTCAAGCTCAATCGAGTGTGCAAAACTGGCTAGGGAACCAAATCACGCGCCCTATGGAAAGGCCTTCTGAAGCTGCGGAGACGTCGGTGCACTTACGTGGAAATTCCTCCCGTTCACAACACACACAATCTGAATTACCGCCCAGAAGCACACAATTCACACAATCTGAACCAACACCCAGAAGTACACAATTCACGCGATCTGAGCCCCAATCTAATTGGCTACAAGCTACACAGCATTCTGATTCAGACGTCGATGGCTTGGAATACATTAATTAGTGGTTGGATTATGATACTGTGCATGTAGAAGACCCTGGAAGCTTAGGTGTGCAAGGTGAGGAATTCAAGAAGTTAGTCGGCCCTGCCTCACATATACATCCTTACAGAATGTAACATATATCTCTTCAGAAACTAGACAGGCAATCACTCAAACTGTGAATGAGACTGGCTTAAATTGATAATCAACCCGGGCCTTGGATTCTCCGCCATGCTTAGGTTTCTAGGGCAGGTCTTGCCTTTTTCGAACATTGGCTGCAGTTGTTGTCGTCACAGTTTGGACGTTTATACATGTTTGTGTGGGAGTTGGGTCTCATTTTAGGAGGTTTTGAAGTGAAAACCACTCTACATCTTGCCATGGGCTGGTTTTGTAGCAGAAGTTGAGCATGTTTGATGTTCCCGGACCTTGTACACTATCGAGGGTTTGTGTGGCTGTGCTTAACACATCGTTGCGAAATTTCCTTCTTATTCAAAATCTATTTTGATTTTACTCGAAACATTTCTGAATGCAGGATAGACAGATAGATGCAGGACAGACACTAAATATGTTTTGAAACGCAATTTGGACCCTTCAAGCAAGAAGAAAACTCAGAACCACCTGAATAGCTGAACGCAGCAAATTCAAAAGATCGGATGATATACGTGTGTGTGTGTGTATATATATATATATATATATATATATATTATTGCAGGAAAAACAGATCACGTTGAGATGGCAAGAATGAACGGGAGAAAAAGCTAAAGCCAGTTGAATGTATTAAGTGGTTATTTGAAATTTCTGCTTGTACCGGTGATGCAACTTCATCTCTGCAACGATTAGGAAGCCTGTGGACGATTACAGAAACTGTGCTTTTGGTAAAATTATAGAACAGATTGCCCGAGAACTGAGAAAGGATAAAAATGATGCTCACGGGGAAAAAAAAGCAGATAGAGATTTCAAAATGGCATATAGAGCTGGTGATCGCAAAGAGCTAGCGTCAGAATTACTTTTCAAGCTCGAAATGCTGCAGTATTAAAACCACATATCTATGAAGTCAGACATGGGTGAACATCTAAACTATGGAGGATTGAATATTCGAATGCCCCATAGTGTCAGCGAAGTGGAGAACACAAGGCGAATCATATCCCGAAATCAGTCGGAAAATCACCATGCAACGAGAGATGTTGTCAGGTCCATAATTGAAATTAGATTTAAGTAAAGTACTAAAGAGAGCAACACGTACATATTGTGGGATCTTCAATGCAAAACCTGCTCATAGATGGTCCTAGAAACTTTTTAAGTACAGGAGTCTTGGAATTGTTTTCTGGTGGTCCTTGTGCAGAGGGATTCTTACTCTCCAAGTGAACATAAAGAATGCAAGTTCCTGAGCAGTACATTCAAACAAAGGGAGCATGTAGGTAGACCCGGTGCATTTGGAACACGTTTCTACTCTTATTCCTGACAGTACTCGTAAAATGAGACTTCCGGATAGCTCAAATTAGGAATTCCGTAGAATCGTTATTTATTATGCTGTCTTGCAGACCTCGCAATTCAAACCCATTTTCAAATCATAGAAATAAGGAACTGTTCAAAATTCATGAATGGCCCTTCAAGAGGAATGGGAAAATCTAATGCGAAAGTTGTAGGTGGTAAATGTAGAAAGCGGTATGTAATGCTGGAGAGAACTTTGAACGGCAGGCTGAGTTCAACTGCAACGGAAGCATCTCGAACGAATGGAAGTTTTTAACTACAATGGGAATGGTTGGTATGCCAGCTTCGGATTCCTTGTGGTTAATCATTAGACTGCAGGATGGTTAGGAGAGAAGCAGAAAGTGATGGTCTCATAAAACATCAACCAAGAGCGGTTGTGGCGTCTAAGATAGACTAATCGTGTACACAATGTGGACTTCGAATAACCGGTGCTTCACATGATCTCGAACTCGTATCCAAAACTTATTTGTCGGGTGCAAGTTTTCTTTCACCAGTAAGTTTGAGAGTTAAATTTACCAATACGTAGAATCTTTTAACTCAGAGCATGAGCTACCATTTGTTAGGAGAAGTACTTTCTCTTGCAAGTATTCATCCAAAGCACTTCGACTTTTCTAATCTCATTTAGATTTCATCATTGTAGTGGATCGCTTCCCGAACAATTCATTGTGCACATCGTGCTAATTTGGAAGAAATAGATCTATTGCACAGAAGCTTCATCTCTCCAGTGGACACATTTGAGTTCCGGTGTTTATTTTAAACACTCCATTGGCTTACATCTTGCTAAATTATGGCTTACAAAGCAGTCAATTAAGTTGAAGATCACTGACTGCCACTCATTTCATGATGGAAGATAGATGCTTGTCTTTTGAGGATGTGCTACAGTGAGTTCGTTGTCTGCAGTTATTAACAGCATGTAACATTCATGTATCTGACCAATACATTTCAGAACCCTTGCAAAGTGAACACAAAGATATTCAAATGATGAATCAGAGTCTTGGCATTCGATGCTAACCGAGCTGCAGCTGGTAGTTACAGAAGGGTCGTCATTCAGATAATGAATCAAATTTTTTTCGAATTCGTTGCTAACCGAGTTGCAGCTAGTACTTACAGAGGGGTCGTCATTCAAGCACCTGCACTCAGAGATCGTTGTACACTACGTTGGCGATTTACACTATACTGCAAGATCTTGCTCCTCAGTCTGTTGGGAGCAGGACCTTGACAGAAATATCTTTGTCCTGAGCATGCAGAGATCCCATAAACCAGACTGCACAAAATTGTGAAGCACTAGGGTGTGGCACTTCTTTGTCTAGTACGCCTTCTCAACAAACCTCCCTTGGTTGATCTGCTTCGATTTCTATCAACTTGACTCTCAAGGAAGCAGTCAGAACCTCCACACTGTCGAGCTGCTCCTACATAAATCCAATACAAGTACGTCCAAATCTTCGGAAGCTTTAAAGAGCATTGGAAACTGGTAGCCATTTTTGGGAGTTTAATTCAGACTGCTCCCATCAGATCCCTTCAAGTAGGAAGCTTCAGAGTCATCGGTCCCCTGGCCGTGGCCGTTACCACCGTCTCCTCGGTGGCCAAGCGGGGAGGAGCACCCCAGGTCCGTCCCGTTTCCACCATGCATGTCGCCCTGCATTGCCAAACCCATTTGGCTCTGATCCCGCCCTCCATCAGAATATCCTGGCGAAGCCTGGGATCCATTGCCTCCGATGCCGCGGTCCGTGGACATCATGTGTATTGAGCCCCCTCCCCCGGAGAGCAGGCTTTGTTGACTGTAGAAGTTCTGCTGCGATGCTTGTTGGCTGTGCTGAAGGTAGGAAGGGATCATACTGTTCTGTTGGCTCATCATCCGGAGTTGTTGCTGCTGTTGCATGTACTGCTGAGCTGGTTGCATGGTTGGCGCCGGCGCAGGTGCTGGCATCTGAGCAAGTGACCCAAATTTGTTTTCTTGAGTTTTCAACGTGGAGGAGAGTGAAAGGATTTTACATGAATTTGAATAGAAAAATAAATAATATAGTATAATATAATATAATAATCTTTATCTTCTTATCCTGACGTTTTTCCACTATATTACAGGTTTTCTAAGGTGTGCTTTACCTCGTGAAGAAGCAACATACCTGCGAAGATGGGCCTTGTGGCTGAGCATCAGCTATGGCAGCCAAATACATGAGATTCTGCTGCAACTTCGCTTGATACCTGCTATGGCATTGAAGTGCAAGTTAGCAGAGTGCATTCACATGGCATGTACACTTCCCGTTGCTTCTGAAAACTTCCATCGTCGCCAATATTGTAAGGAATTCCAGAGGGAGAGAGAATCGTCACTTACGTTGCACACTCATTGAGCTTGCCGAGGTTTTGGTTGTCGAGGATAGCGAGAATCAACTGCTTATTCTCGTCCAAGTACTGTGGACCAAATTCCAAACGACTCCATGTCAGACTGGATAGCAGCAATTGAGCCACAAAAACAAGACAATCAAGGATAATCAACCTCGAGAGTAGATATCCCCTGGCATCTACATGTCACCATGGTTTGCGAACTCATCTGTGTCTGGGAACAATTATCTGCACCGAAAAAATTAGGTGCAGCCTAACGTGACTCTAGGATCTTTCAGGAAATGGCCAGGCCTTTGCAGAGAGGGCCACATATTATTATTATAATAATAAAAGATGGAACTATTAAAAAAAGATAAATTACAAAAAATATATATTAGGCGCTACAAAAGTAGTGTCTCCTTTGCCTGACAAAGTTCGATCTGCGATTCCCAAGGAAGATTTTCTGGCACTGTGTATCAGGACCCACTAACAGAGGCGGTCGTGGCCATGCTCGTGCTCACCGCACTCTGCTGTATCAGAAGAGAGAACTTTTCCTCTACCTTACCACAGTAACTGGGGTTCGTACTCTGGTGATTGGATTGATTTTAGTATTATAAATTTTTGAACCGAAAGCTTGAACTTGCTGAACAAGCAGTAGTTGGGTCTCAAACTCGGCTGTAAAGTACAACCGGGCCCACAAACACAAAGGCCCACAAATCTATGTGAACGATCGCCAACCCCAATGCTGCGTGGTTTTCATACATAATCCTCCTGGCAACATGTTGCCAATGGGTACAGATGGATGGAACCCATCCCACTGCCCATGATTTTTCGCTGGGAGGGACATGGGGCCTAGGCGTAGTTGGTTTTACGATCGTCCCTCAGAGACTGTGAAGAAGCTGCAGCAACTCTAATTGTCCTCGAAGAATACCAGTCATTGATACTAGTATGCTTACCAAGAGTGCTTGAGCAGGAAGCTAGCACCACAAGCTCAAGATATGCGGATGCTAATTGAAATTCTCAGCATTCTACACATTCTGTATACGAGACATAATTTCGGGAGCGTACTCGTGCAGGACTCAATGGAAACATAAGTCGAAGAAAGTAGAAACTCGGAGTTACTACACCAAGAAGTTAAGATAAAGGTTGAACACTATGTGCTTAAAACCCTGGCATGAGGGTGGGACATACCTTCTGAATGAGCTCCGTTGTGATGTTGGAGCTGGCATACGTCGCCATGTGCTGCATCATGGATTATCTCTTCACCTACCTACATTCACATTAAAGCGACTATCAGTACAGAAACCATGTCGAGCATAAACGAATGAGAGGATCTAGAGAACTGTCACTAGACTACAGACGATGACTTGCGTTTCGGAATGTGCATGACGATAGACCGTTTGTTTCGTGAAGTCTGGAGGGATAAAAGATGGCGGAGAAATGAAGATTAATGTTGAGAAGGCGAGCAATTCAGATCTTATGATCAAGTCTTACCAAACCAATTGCCCATTGCCTGCTTCAGATTATAGAAGCTCTCTAACGCAATTAGCATGAACAACTGGTAGCTCAAAGCCTGATGAAGAACAACTTACACAAGACCAGGCATCTTCTGCATACGTTCAAACTTCTCGTCTTCGCACCTTTGTTATGTTGTTAAAGGATATACTCTCAACCAGATACACTTCATCCAGACGCTACGGGCTCAAACCAGATGCCACCAAGTGCTTACATCGTGCATGTCCAACTCAATAATTCTCGTCAACCCAACTCGTCATGATAGAGAGTAGTAACGAGGACCCTTGCCAAGTTTTGAGGACAAAATAGACGGTTCAGAAAAGAGTTCAATCGCATCAGACAACTGCAAAAATTGCGGAAAGCAATATTCAGCAACTCTTCTACACAGATGCTTCGTGAAGCAGCTTGTGTCCGACATAGCACAAAGCAATGACGCTGCTCAGTCAGCACTAATGTTGATCACCCAGAGAATTGTGAAACGTCAAAGATCTAAAAATGATAAACATTTGACGCAGGTCGTTTTCTCCTCGGAGACAAGATCTAATGTCGGTATTGTACACTTCGAGCACAACTAGTACCTGAGAGGTGGAATGTAGCTGGCTGCTAGCTGGCTGGACTTGCGCAGTTATGAAGACTTGGCTAGCGTAACAGGGAAAAGTCAGTCAAGGAGATACTGGTCGACAGACTCGCCATGAAGGAGGCTGACTGGGTGCACCTGAGGGAGCGCCTCACACGTGCACACACGCTTGAGAGACAGCTTCCTCGTTTCTAATTTTCGACAGTGGTAAGTAGTGACTCTCGGTTACGCCTCAGCCTCTGAAGTCTACTGCAGAACCATCGTTTACAAACTCCATAGTCAAACCAACAAATTAATCAAGCATTTAACTCAAGTTATAAGATACCTAATCTTTAACTCTACCTTTTATAAACACAACGGTTTGTAGGGGATGAGAACTGGAGAACACCGAGGGCTGATCAACCAAAACCGGAATGACCGGAATATCGATGACCGTTGTTAGCTAGGATTGAACTGAAGCAATTTCTGATCCTCGGCGAAAACGCAAGTGCACGCTTGTACTTCATCAACGGCAACCCAACCCAATCATGTCACTTGTCTCAATTGGACTAAGTCAAACGCTCGAGAAAACTCGTCTATTCTTCATTGCCTAGATGACTTCCAAGTGGCATTCAGCACTCCGCTGATGAATATTTAAGGAGGATCATGCTCAACCAGCTACAATCAGTGAAGATGAGATCCCAGGACGAGATGACGAAATATCCTTCCTGTCCTAGAGCTGAAGTTCATTTTAAGTATCATAAGAACATAATGCCACAGCGATATATATTTGTAGTATCTTCGAAGAGAGGATTGGAGAGCTACCACTCTACACTATCTTTGGCACATTCTCCACCTATTGTGGGACTATGAAACAGCGACCACATTCAGAGCGGAGGCCAGATTCTCCTAACGCTGTTGTTATTAGTGTATATAGCATAAGGAATTCAATGAACCGGGAAATCCCTCGATGTAAGGAACGTCCAAAAAGTACCCAAACATAGCACATAAATGCCAACCGACAAGAAATGACCTGTTCCTGTTCAGTCGGACGATGAAAGAAAGCTTTAGAAGATTCAGACAAGAAGGGACTCGGCGTAAAATCAAGGGTCGAAGTTCAAAAGTGTCAACACAAAGTTCGTCAATGCTGACAAGGTTCTTAAAAGTTGTGCGGTTTGATGAATCGAAAGTTGCGGCGGCGATGTGCTAACTCGTATCTGTTAACGCCGATGAAAAGTGCCTTTTTAGGGAGCCTAGATAAACAACACCTGAGATGTAGGCTGGGAGCTAGAGAAGGGAACTAAATGAAAATGACGAGCTCTGAGAGTGTTACGCCGTCTTCGCGAAGCAAGCAAGGAATTGGGGCTCTCTAGCAAAGCAGAATCAACGAACGCTTCAAAGTAGTACAAATTAGGCTCAAGTCTGAAGCAACTGTGAAACTATGACAAACGACTGAAACTACACATCAATGTATATTTCAGCTCATCTCACTCACGGTTCCAAACCTGGCTTTGACATATTATCTTGAGCAGTGTAGTCTCGACACTGATATGCGGCGAGGATATCCGACAGCTAGAGCAGACGATGTTCGAATTAACATTGAAAATTCGATTGAACATGAAGAAATTGCACCTCCCAGGCTACCTCCGCGATGAAGCAACATATGGGCATTGTCTAGAAACTCTCCAATGTTTAATCAGGAAGTAAGGAGGCCACTGCTACAGGCCCCCAAAAAAAGAAAATCTCGTGAAAAGACTTAAGGCATCACAAGAAGAAAAAGGAGGAAAGAGAAAATGAAAAAATCAGTCGCAGAAAGCTCTAATATATCGGCGGTGTTGCAATTGTTCCCTCACTTAGTCCCATGTATCACCGACACAGCGATGCCCGTTGAGGCCACAATGCCAGACACTAACCAGACATGGACAAAAAGGAGAAGGAGAAGAAGCAGACGAAGAAAATTAAAAATACTAGCCATCCAAGCCCCACGGAGGTTACAAAGAGAGATAGAGAAGTATTGGGTCCTAACTTGTGTCAGCTGCAACAGGCAGGCAACAAGCGTGCTCACGAAGATCAGAAGGGAGATATGGCAGCAGCAGGTGGAATGGCAGTGAGCCCCACCCACCTGCACAAGCAACTCAAAGCAGCAAGGTCTGGACCGCACTGATGAGCTGATCGATGACTCGCCGCTAAGCTGGAGAACCGTGACTGCAGAAACTGGAGGCGTGAAAGATGGGGAAATTGCAGTCGTTACCAGCATAGACTGTGGAAGTTGTGGCAGTCGTAGTAGCGCAGAGTGGGGGAGACACTGCACCTGCGCCGCTTTTAAGACCACAGATGGTGGGGTAGCGAGCTGGAGGAATGGACTCGGAACGGGGGAAGAATAGAAGAAGGAGACGAAGAAGGCTCTTGCCTATGATCGTCGCATCGACCCCCCTCCCCCCCACCTTGCAATGTACATCAAAAAAGTCAGAACACCTCAACATGCACAGATATATCAGTTTCTCAACCTAGAACCCTTGGAATTCATCTTATCCACTGATTCAAACTGCTATTATAATTCTGAGAAATACAATAAATATATATATTTATATATAGGAATCTAGACAACTCCAGGATTCCTCATGCGCCTGGTGCCTTGCTACATCACATTCTCGCCTCGTTTAGATCCTCCCTCTGAAATGAATGCGATGTGTACATTCAAGTTTGAACAAGCTCCAGCTTGAGACTAGCGTTTTCTAGATGGCAGTTTGAGACTAGCGTTTTCTAGATGGCAGTTTGAGACTAGCGTTTTCTAGATGGCAGGCGTAGACGACGACGACGCACAGACCTAGAATCTGAGCTCCTCCTCCTCCTCCGCCGTGATGACTCGGGATTGAAAGGGTCAATGCCCTCTGCAGTTAAGTGTTGAGTGCTACCCTCACCCCACATCAGCAGCATCAGTAGTTGTTGTTGTAGTAGTAGCAGTAGTAGTAGTCGTACCTGCTTAGCATTCCATTGCGTAGATTTTCAACACCATCATCAGTCTCGCGATTCACTTTGCTTTGCTTGCTTACTTGCATCGGTTGCAGCTCCTTCGTCATGAGGACCCCCTCGATGCAGCAGCACCCTCCGTCACTTTTGTGTGTGTGTGTTGGTGTGTGCTTCCTCTCATGCCTTTTGATTGATGGGTAGTGATAAATGGAAAACTACATATATATATATATATATATATATAACTATGTATGTATGTATGTATATTATATATATACCAATATATATATATAACTATGTATGTATGTATGTATGTATATTATATATATACCAATATATATATATATATATAATCGGAAAAGAAAAAAAAAAAAAAAAAAAAAAAAAAAACACTAATCCAGGATTTATGAAGAAAAGAACAAAAACTTGTAATTACTTGAAATGAAAAAGGTGCAGGAGGAGGTTACTGGTGACAAAAATGGGTGAGGAGGAGTAGCAGGCAGGTTGCTCAGGTGTGTGAGAGGACCTCCCTCTACTATTGCAGAGTACAACAGCACAAAACAGACTCTACTACAACCAAGAAAGGGGCCATGACTACTACTACAGTGGAAGAAGAATGTCACAAGAGTGCCACTACTTCATTTAAAATAACCCCCCCCCTCCCTCTCCAAATTGTACATGGACATACCAAGAGTGTCCTTTCCATGGTTTTAATCCATTTTGTTTCTATTGTGGCTTCACTAGAATTCTTGAATATTGGCTATTTTATTTTTGAATTGAAATTTATGAGTAAAGGTTGAAATTTTAACTCATGCATGTTTTAAGAATTTTACATCATATTTTATTTCAATTTTTTTTGTTGATTGATTATTCAATTGAAAGTTACAGTACATTCTACTCATGGATTAATTGTTGATAAATTATAAAAGAAATAGTTCAAGTATAAAACTTGAGCACAGTATTTTAATATTTTAATCGGATACACTGATGTGATATTCTTTAATAATTTGTAACATCTAATTTGTGTACAAAGATGAATCTTGACTTTGATGTCATTAGAGTGAAAATTTAAAAGTTTGTTCTGAATTTATGAAACATAATTTCTATAATTTAACATTTGAATTGGATTTGTTTTAGCATCCATTTAAATTAAGAGAACAAGATTGAAGAAATAGTTCTCATCAGCTCAAGCTTTTTCAGCAGTCAAATACAGATTACATAATAACTTAAGCATGTTAAGTAATTTGTTCAAAAAGGATAGAATGAAAATGTATTTGAATACCGACACAATTTGAGCATCCATTTCATAGACTAAGCCTTAAATTTCTTGCATATATTTGAAACATGTACATATATATATATATATATATATATATTCCTTAAAAAATGAAATATTCATATAAAATTGCAACTTAGATGGCTTCAGAAAGCAACACCAAAGTAATATCTATTACAGATAAGTTTATCATTTCAAAGTGATCTTAAAAAGGAACGTCTGCAAAAACAACCATAAACGACATGTATCATTTATTTGAAAATTGATTAAAATAACTATGTTTCTCATCTTTTTAATCATTTATTTCTTCATTTATATAATATAATGCAAAATTCATGTTTTACAATTTCTCACTCGAAATCTGGTTTTTTACACCGTGAAGCATTCAGCGTGCAAGAATTAGTTTTCTCATTAATTGCATTTAAAAAATATTCAGTTAAAATAAATAAATCACAACATACAAGTTTGCCAACATGTAGTAATATGTTTTATGTCAGGATAATTTTAAGCAAATTTGTAAAAGATTCATGGCACAACTCATCACACAATTTTATAGCATACTATTTGTAAAACGATAATTAACTAATATACTTTAACTGAAAAGAAAAACTTTCAAAAAATACTGTGTTTCTTATACTAACCTATACTCAAATCATATAAACACAATGCACGGTAATCAAACTTGTTAAGTTGGAAAAAATTGTGTGTTTGTATCACAAGAAATTGACACATATGACATTTATAGTATGCAATATAATAAATTGAAAAATTATTTTAAAAACTGCTTAAGTAACAAGAGCAGTGATTTTATAAATTCATGCAGGCTTTACTATCTTATTCATTTATTGAGTATCATTGGACTTAAACCCATCTTTAAGTCCTTTAATCACTTTTAATTTTGAACAGACAGTATCATAGACCGATTTTGCCATGACTGATTTTGTAGCTATTATGGAAGTAATAGCTCCTAATGATTTATAGCAGATATCAATTTTTAAAAGATGTATAAATGCAACAGTTGGCTTCTTTGCAGAATTTGTTTTAAATAAAGTACTTGTTTTTAGAATAGAAAATTAATGAAAGACTGTTTTAAAAATGAATGTTAAGTGTTTAAACTCAAATTAAAAATCAATCAATGCATTGAGTATGTTTTAGGTTTCGATTTAATTTCATGTCATTGATAATAAGATGTTTTTAAGGAGGATTAAAAATACATATATATATATATATATATATGTGTGTGTGTGTGTGTGTTTGTGGAGGAACTTCAAAACTTTCTAATACATTATTGGAATTTCTTGAAATAATCACATTCCTTCATTGTAATTTCTTTTTTTTCTTTCATTTCCCTTTCCAATGATAAAAGAAATCTACAGTTAACAGGTTGACATGTATGCATGTAACCATGATCAAGAACTATCATAATCAAAAGTATGCTTCTTCTTTTCTTTCTTTATCTATTTTTTTCTTGTTTGTTTGTCTTTTATAAGCAATTTAATGGAAATCTATTTTTAAAATGGACTCAGATATTAAGTTTTTTTCTCAATTAGACATTTAGATTAATTTTTGTGATTTTTTTTCTTTCTTTTTCCTTTTCACATTTTATTATCTGTTATTTTTATATGGTTACAAAGAATTCATGGATATCAAAATTTTATTACACCATATCATTGCATTTTGTTTCAAATGCCTATTGTCTGAGAAAAGTTCAAGATAATGACAAAATTCTAAAGAGCTGTAGAAGATCCATCTCCCAGCATCCTAAAATGGCTCATAAATAAACTTATTTAATTACTTATTTATTTATTTTAAAACGTTACCACAATATTTTCTCTTTTGTATATACATTCCGTTTAATATCACTACCACATCATAATTCGTTAAATTAACTTTTATTGAATTATTAGATTTAACTAAAAATATGTATTTCAATGTATTTTGACATATCAAGATGACATAACTTCAGTTACACTGTACTCCATATCTAATCACTTTTTAAAAAAATTATAATACTCTCTTTACTATCATGTATATTTTACTTTTCAATCTTATGTCAAGTTCTCTTTCATAGACATCATGAAATTTAACCATTGCTTTTTAAACTCTGAGAAATTGAAGATCAAATAAATAAATGTTATTCAACAAAAATTAAATAAATCAGACTCTTTGAGATTCCCAACATTATTTGCATAACATTTAAACAAATAAATTAACAAACAAACAAACAAACAAACAA